TAATTAGTTTATTTAAAAAGTTTTAAATAAAATTCAATAAATAATATCATTTTACATTTGAAAATGTAATTCAAAAATCGTGACTAATATGTACTGTAATCTTAATTACTGTAGTAATTACCATTTAAAATGTAAGAATATTTTGTTACATAATTACTTAGAATTACTGTTAACAAATTCCAAGTTTGATATAAATTTTTAATAAGTAGGTACAAGAAATATTGGCCAATGTTGGTTGTAGAGTTAGTTCTTAATTGAAAAATATTCATATTTTGACGAAAGTAGTGGTTTTGGTTAGAAAAAGGAGAAATGTATTTATAATGTATCTATATTTATATAAATTGTTATTACTAAATGAAATTATTCCGTCACGTATGAAATATTTAGATTTTGAAACATAATTATTCAATATTATTATTTTGGTGGCTTAAATATTGGATAAGTGGCATGTCATGTTTTCAATCGATGAACTTACATATATGTGGTTAAAAAGACTAACAATATATTCATAACAATATTAAGTTACATAGATTTAAATAATTGTAATTATATTATAATATGATTATGTAAATAAATAATTTCTATCACAAATTAAACAAGCACAGAGTAATATGGTTTCTCAAATCTTATACCTGTCAATACTGCAGGGGTTTTAATTATTAAAAAAAGAAGAATATATCAAACATGGATGAATATGTTCGTGTTTAAATAAAAAGTAGGATATTAAACTCTGTGGAATAAACAGACTGAAATCAGACTCTAAGTTGAAACTATTTATAAATTCGATCTACAAAGGTTTTATACATATTTAGTTCCAGTTTTACCAGATCTTAAAAAAAAGATTCCGATGTATATTTATAAGTCTAATAATATGAATAAACAAAGTCGAGGTTTTTTCTATTTAAATAATAATAAACATTAATTATTCTTTTCATATATTCATAGGGGAAAGCTTTGAAGTTTATTTCTATAATAAGACATTTGCAATCGATCAAATGAGTTCTAGTTTAGTAGTACAAGTGTCAGTTAAATGTTTTTATGAAGCAGCTCTTGTGTCGTGTTTTATAAACACCTTCTTGGAATGTTGTCTGAAAGAAACCTGATGCGTTTCCTCCGCATGTGATGGCGACTGGCGTCAACTGAAATTTACTTGTTTTTATATTAAATAAATTGTGTATAAATTATTAATTACATTATAAATTTATGATACGATTATTTCTTCAGTCAATATTTTTATATTACACTATAATTGTCTTTTTTTGTACCAGGCAATTTCCCATCTATAACCAGGGTCTGCCTTACATGTTGTGAATAGTTTTGGCTATTTGTTTTTACGACCGGCCGCCTGCCTGACATCAACCCTCTTTGGGAATGCATTAATGAGTGATGTCTAAATACTCTTAGAAAGTGTTAACTCGGAAAAATCACATTGGTACTTACCCTGGCAAGGATTACACTTTAATTGCCTATTATTGTTTAATGTGGATTCATAAAAAATATCTCGGAACCGTAATTATTTATTATGAAGTATTTATTTTTCATTCTTTCATAACATCACAATAATAGAGTGTAATGTTTATTATACGATGTAAATAGTAAAAAAACAATAGTTAAAAGAAGTAAAAAGGTGAATAAAACTATTTAGTTCATCGTTTTATAATACACTCGGGGATAGCTATATTATATTACTATTTGATAAGAATATTTAGGTTTTTGACATATTATACAAGTCATATTGTATCCCGAATTCCTAGTATTGGAGTATAAATGAAAATGTAACAGTCATTTAAGTATAATTCTAAACGTTCTTTCATTACCAAATCAAATATAACGTAAAATTCATTATTAGTTGTATACTCGTATATTGGTAAAGTGAATTCATTTAGTTGGTAGAGTGAATTCATTACATCCTTGGATAAATTCATTTCTAATACCCACTGGATAATTCTGGTATAAATTTGACCTTAAGATAATTTGGTCATATAAATGTTTGCATATTTATTCGCATCCTCTAACTTTAACCGGTATTTTCAAGATCTTTTATTGTTATAAACAAATTAACTTATCACGTTTAAACAGCACGAGTATGTATTGTTTGTGTTACGATAGAGTTCTCAATTGTAGTAGTTTTTTTAAATCTCCTGTTTGGACTTGAATTTGATATACAAACAGTAGTTTCCATAGATTATATTAAAGAAAAATTAGGAGTTCGTAGTTATGTCAGTAGGTTAAAAATATGTCATATGTCATATGCCTTTACCTATTTTACTGTAGTAATTTTAGAAAGACCTCGTTTGTATGAATCACGCCTCAGGGAATAAATATAAATAGTTTTTATTCCAAATACCTTAAATATTTTCGTCTATCTAAATTACTAATGCCGATAATAGCCTTGGAAGAAAGGAGGTTTGTTTACAATACAGACCTCCTTTCATGTTTAATTTATACAGAATATACCACAACGATCTAGAATCCAGACATTTCCGACTCAATTTTTTCCGTGTGCTTATAATGTGACCTTTATTAATATATATTATATACCTAATACGAATATTTACTTGAACTGATTCTATCAATAAAGCCATATATTAAATTAGTGAAAGTCCTCGGAGAAGCTGTTAACTGTATTTTTACTTAATTTTGTTATATTTTAAATGTTATTGGTTGAAGGTTATAGTTTCAAAATAACCAAATAAATGACTGGCGCCGCTTTCGTGACAGCGACAGAGTCAATTTTAAACATATTTGTGTTAAAATAGTTAATATAACAACAAAATATTAAATAGAATAACATTCTTACCGAATAAAACTTATGATAGTGTCTAGAAACATAACGTTATATGCCATTGAAACGATAAAAAGGTCGTAAAACTTTTGGTACTGCCTTAAAGAATTGTAATGAATAAGTCATGGAAAATTACTCAAAAAATCAGCGTGTGTCGTGTTATCAGTTATCGGGAGTCTGTGAATTGATCAAAACAATTTCGCAGTGCCCTCACCCTCACATGGACTTCGCACTGTAAGGAGAATAGTGACGTAGCAGACTATTTGAGAAGTATCATCAGGAACGCATGCGTAACTAATAGTTTTGCTTGTGTGTGTTTGTCTGGTCGAGCACGAGGACCCTGCGTGATACTACACCCATCCCGCTCTATCGTATAGCTTCGTCTCCCTCACTCGCAGGCGGTGGCTGGGGAGGACCGATTACTCAAGTTTAAAATACCACGAACGTTGCGCTAACCCTCAGTCGTGTTCTACTTGCGCTTGAAGACGTTCACAGAGAAATAACTCGTGAATAACCGCAGTTGTGACAAACGTTTCATATTACAGAATTCTATCACATTAAAATATATACAATACACATCTCCCAGCGAGAAAAATTCACGATTATTGATTACTTCGAGGTAAGAATTATATTCATATATATATATAAAATATGAAAGCATGATACGATGAGGAAATTAGTAGGTGGAAAAAGTATTAATGAAATAAAACGAGAATGTTCTGGTACGGTAGTGTTCGATGAAGCAAATGGCCGACACTAATGCAGCGGTCGCTTTCACTCGACCGCTATGCATGGTTCGCTAGATCTATAAATAAACCATACGAAACTAAAGATTACTCGATATTTCTTCTGCATTTATTTTTATACTCGTTTGTTTACCGTTATGTTGTGATTTAAAAAAATGGTATTTTAAACTAGATATTTACTGTAAGATGTTAGAACTTTGGTTTAATTCTTTTTTCCTTTTTATTTGCTTATAAATAATTTATAGGTGGAGCCGTAAATCCCCTTTTTTAATTCAACGTTGACAATGACGACAAAACTTTTTTTTTATAAAACATACCTGTTTTGGGTTCCAGTCCCTTAAATCCAAGGTCCAGTTTTTGTAAAGCTTATATCACATTCTTTTCAACCGAGGGTTCCGAGTACCTGCATTAAAACATTTTTACGATTTGAATTTCATATTACCTTTTAGATCACGACTTGTTTGAAAAGTTTTTATCACCTGAATAAATATTAAAGATATGTGAATAGGTATAGTTTTAAATATCTATCTTCAACTTAATAATTTTCAGATTTGTATCGTCTTCTTATCTAGGCTAGTTTATTTCCGTGTACGTAAGTAGGCGCCGTTATACCATTTGGTTGGTTTCCTAATATTCTTTATAAATTATAACTGTCTTATAACTTTTAAAAGAAACTGCACGTAATTTTTAGCAAGGACTTTAATAATGTAGATTTGTTGTTTTCCTTATTTAGGTATATGCAGGTCAATAAATATCACTAAAAGGGAAAATTTCTCGAGAGACATTTTATACTTGTATTTATAACTCGTTATTCCAGTTTGTGTAGAAGAATTAGAAAGTTAAAATTATTTTGAATATAGATAATTAATTTATTTTACTTCTGCATTTCATTATAAATTTGCGTTTTACTAAATTCTTTTTTTTGTAATTGATATATTTTTTTTTATATCATTATATTTATTAAAGCTTTTCAATTTCTTCCAACCTTGAGTTCATGCAATTTAACCGTGAAAATAATTGTCACAATATTGTACCGCTACTTTTTTTGTTACAAAGGAATTTAATGACTGTTTTTAATTATTATTTTTATGCTTTCCGTTAAAATTTAATTACGAGTTAAATTTTAATTAGGCCTTCTCAAGTTGTCACACGATTGTTACTGGGAATTAATGATTTTAAGCATTTTAATTATTTTACTGTTGCTGACAAAATAGGTGGGGGGTGAAAGGAACTCTCACCTTCTTAATGAATGTCATGGACTGAAATTAATTGTTTGATATTTTTGTACTTCAATTTAACTTCAACATACGTAAAAATAGAAAAATATGTATATAGAATTTTTGTTTTTATTTTCGTCTTTACCATAAAGAGTAGTCTATAGGATCGTCATTCAACCTTAAAAGTTCTGTTAGTATCACAAGCTCTAACAAATTGTTCATTACTATTAAAAGGTAGCAGAAAAATCCAAGATGATGTCCAGCCCAGCTTTGGAACTTCAAGTCGAGGAGACGCCTCTGGCTTTACGTCGTCTGTGGAACCTCACCCGCGCCCGTCTTGCCGGTACTTCAACCCTTGCTGAAGAACCCGCTTTAGTAGAATCTCTGCCATCCGCTCAGGTATATAAAAATACTTAGAAAAAAATAATTGGATAATTCTTTCTTAACAGATGATTTTAGAGAATATTTCCAAAAATATGGGAATAATTTTAATACAATTCTAAGCCGGTTTTATTGGTAGTCATTCATAGTACATTATAAGTTCAATAGAGTTCATTGATTTATAGTGTGGTTATTAAAAATATTTATTGCCTTCAACCATTTCACAGAGTTACATTAGAATATAAAAACGAAATTATGTTCAAGCAAAAAACTGTCTTAAACTGATTTATTTTGATATAAGCTCAATCGTTGTGTCTGTAATCATTACAAGTTAAGCATTCAGACAGTGTAGGCGATGTTATATATGTATTTGTCCCCAAAATAGATAAGACACGATTAATTTCTGACTTATACGTGTTTTATACACTTGTAACGTAATTCATATCACGTACTCTGTTGGAGAAAAAAATTGTTAAATAAGTTTAGTGATTGCAGTTTCCTAAACCATAAACATAGTTATATAAAAGAAATATATTTTTTGTCATACTTCTATGTATGTTCGTTTATACATATAAGTTATTGTATTATGTAAAACTGATTCTTAAAGTAATAAACATCTGTTACTGTTGACGACGGTCGTAGTGACATAACATTGCAAATACAGCCTTAAAAGGTCGTGACCTCGACGAAAAACTCCTGCCCTTCATGATTCATCAGATACATATAATGGATTATTATGAACAGGAATTCAAACATTATAATTTTAATTGAATATGCTGTGAACGTCTTAAAGTCAAGGGTCTGACCTCATTTTGCTATCAAACCGTTATCTTTCAAACATATATTGCAAATTCACCTCCTGACACGATAGCTTTAGTAGTCACTTATCTAAGTATAATCTTCCTTGGCCTAATAGTTGACACGTGAAAGTCATTAAGATAATATATTTTGCTTCTTAGGAACCTGAAGGTACACCGAAGAGCTACATTCCAGTCCCAAGCGACTATGAAAGCGACGGCGAAGAGGCTTTCCCTGAAATCGATTTACTTGTAAGTATTTCATCATAAATCACAATATTATTACAACAATACTCATTTAACTCATAATTATACGCTTATTTTTGTTTTATTTAATTAAGTTAAGATAATTTTGACGTCGATTTCAATTAAAAAATATGCGTTTCATTTACGTAACTTTTTAAGTTGTAGTCGATTTATTTTGAAGAATTAATGTATAAAATCGTGTATTTATACCACTAGATAGATTAAATAAAAAATATAAGAACTACCTCATTACCTGTAACCTTCATTATGTTTGAAGCTCAAGTTTACTTTCTTAAAGCCATTAATTTCGCTTTTATTTCTGTTTTCACTCATGGTGTAAATATAGAAAAAAAGACACGCAAGCATAGCGTGGGCGTGGCTGTTGTTGCTTATCGTTAGCGTCAACATGACACCCTAAAAAAACATTGATATACAGTTATAAGTACAACTAGATAAACCTCTTTTTTTTTCACTCCAATTATCCTAAATGGAACAATCAAACGTTATGTATGGGCTTCTAGATACAAGATAAATATATGTAGAATGTGTTCTGCTTCATTGAAATATTTTATTTGATCAATATGTAAGGTTTCCGGGTACATTTATTTCTTTTTTATTTTATAAATGCGCCATATATTTCCCTTGGACATACGAATTTGTAGTTCGTCACCGTCTACATGGACTTTGGAACACATAAATTATCAATTGGCGCAACAATTTTAAGCAATCGTCTCAATTACTAATTTATTTTATACTTTACTCCTCATGGTTACGATATAATCAGACGAATTGTTAAAGAAAGCGTATGAAATTAAATAAATAATATTATATTTCTGTCTTATATTTATTTACATTCACCTTTTGAGGATCAACCAATTTAATGTAGTTTCATTTCTTGGCACTAAATTTATGTCGTACATTAGATGATATAATAACTTTGGCAAAGAACGGCTAAACAAAAGACGATATCTCTTTATTCTCTTAAAGAACAGAGAGTCGGCTAGTCATTAGTAAATACCTTCAGAAAATAGCTTCTAACATGTTAAAAACATTATTGTGTCAATCTTGTGAACGCTTTGAATGTTTATGTGTTGAAGTTATTGTGGTGAGATTTGTGACAAGACCTTGAAATAGCGAAGATTTTTTTTTCAATGGACATTTTTAGATATTCTCGAATATTTTCTAGGAGCAACCCGAGCTTCCAACCAAGCCCTACTGGAGTGAAAGCGCTTATGAAAAGGAGGTTTTACTGGATGCTAGCACCCTCGGCGATGTTCCCGCTGTTTACCGAGTTCCAGCCCCAGCGCCTCATCAAATGCCAGTTATCGGAGTCTACATCGACCCACGAGTCCGAACCGGCTTCAGATACAAAATTAGACCCATGCAGGTGAGATAAGAACTCCATATGGGTTATTTTTCATCTTCTGTCCGTTGCACGCTAGAGAATCGTCACTTCTATACGCGATTAGAAGTGTTGATGATTGCTCTAAACATTTTAATATTAGAATCGCAATCTTCCACATTTCTATAGAAATGATTTTTTTGATGGATATATTTTGTTTTGTTCGCTTTGTTTATTTTAGATAGTGACGATTCTTTAACATTTAATCAATGTGGCTTATCATCGAAACGTGGGTAGATCCTAACGATCGGCTTTCGTACGCTCACGTTCGAGAACAGAAAAACTATGAAGATCCATATCATTATGGGGCTAAATTATCAAAACGAACTGTGAAAGAAACGACTATATATTAAACATTTGAATTGAGTTCAAGACTTAAACTGCCATCTTTTAACATTATTGTGTTCCGTATTTCCCAAATCCTCAATGGATCTTTTGTTACGTGAATTTATTTTTTTAAAATTAAGATATATTAATATTCGATATAATGAAACATAATTGCTCGGTTTGTGGTTATCTGTGGAAGATTTTTGCAAGATTGAATCTTTACAGAATTCAGGAGGAGGGTGAGTTTTGTTCTACCACATAATCTTGCGAAAATGTTCATGGGCTGCGCGAAAATTCTTATAATAATTGGAGGATATTTACTTGAATAAGTTATTGTAATATATTTGAAAAAAGAATGACAAAAGAATGTTCGCAAGGTTTCATTTCATGTGATCGCAACCGAATACGTTATGGTTATAATTTCATACTTGATTTTACTTTTTAAAACACAATTTAGTGTAAGGTTGTCATCAAATAGTTTTTGAAATTAGATTATCCAAAACATATCAGTTATGAGAAAGGTTAAACCTATTAGATTTTAAAGTCTACACAAAAGAAAAAGAAAAATGTTAAAGTAAAATAGGACGAAAACATTATGATTGTTTGTAATGGCAACCTTACCCGTCAATGTTAAAAGATGTATTGGGTGAAAAGAAAATATTTGATGAATAAGTAGTGAAGAGTCTGAATTCAATTCCAATTAGTCAGTTTCAGCAGTTCAATTGGCTGGGATGTTAGGTTAGTGGGGTGTTAGACAGAGATGCAGTGTCCGTTGCTGACATTTACAGAATGAAAATATCATCAACGTAAAACACTGTAGGCTCGGGTGTTTTGCCACTAGTTGTGTGCCGTTGTAGGCGATGGTATGTGGATCGTCCAGTTTTTCAGACCTACGCCCAGAGAGGCGCTCACAAAACAATCAAGATCGCTCGCGGACCTCCTGCGGTCGAACTGACCTGCCGCCAGCATGCTATAGGTAAACCATAAGTATCATTCATAAGGGCCAAACCATTTATTACTCATTATATGTCATATAATATTTACAATGTCTTTCCATTAGATTTCTTGTAAATTATGATATGTAATCCATGTCCCATGTAACAAGTCATTATACAGATTTATGATTACATTTCGGTGCAGTTTTTTGTTTGTAATTTTGACTTTGAATTAAAAATACTTTCTGGAACCTCGTATAAATCATAATTTTAAATATTCCAGGCTTTGGATGCCCCTCCTCTATCGGTCAAGCCAAGATACTTGTTCGGTGAAAAGGCTCTTACCCTGCAATCCATTGGCCGTGGCTTTGCTCGCCGGCTTACATTCGAGCCCGTTGATTCCACCCTGAATGAAAATAACAACTATTTCTGGACCGATTCAAACCCAGATGGCTTTGTGTTTGAGATTGAAGCTGTTTCCGTTGGTGAAAAGTTTACTATCTATGACGCCAACCATGAACCGCAAGGAATTCTGGAAATTGTCCAGCAACAGGTAAAGTAGTTCATTCATAGTTTATGATTATTATGATTTAAGTATAATAGCACATCTAACAAAAATTCTATTCCAGAAGAATCAAATTGAACTGGAGCAGAAGATTTCTGAAGATGGAACAATTGAGAAAAAAGTGAAAATAAACACTCTCTGCAAAGTTGAGTGGTATGAAAATGATGGTATCACAAAACTCGTCCCAGTGACTGGTGTAGCCATTCTGGTGAAAGGGAAAGGAAATGCAGTTGTCACAAGAATTGTTAATGTAGCTATTGGAATTAAGCAGCTCAAGAAGGGCTTCGAGCTGAAACCAGGTGTTAAGTCTTCTTCAAGAAGGATCGCTGTGAATGGATGTGACATCCATGACATTCCATGTCAATATTCAGTTGTTGGCCTTGAAAGATACGAATTGCCCGTCATAGGTAAATTAAGCAAAATATTAATCGCTTCATCGAATTAAACGCTTTTACCCCTGTAAAATAATAATATTTTTAATATCAACAGGAACATATGTCGATCCTCGCATCATTCCCGGATTCCATTACCGCGTAAGACCGGCGAATTGCAGGCGCCATTTGTTTGAAGGCCGAAGCCTTTTGTTACAATCGGTCGGAATGGGTTACGGGAAACGTATCACATTCAAACCAGATACGCTGAACGCTCCAGAGAACTATTTCTGGTCGGACTCCCACCCCGAGGGCGTTGGAATGGAACCACGAGCCGTTCATCCAGACATGAAATTCTATATCACAGGAAATGGGGTAAGAGAATGCAAAGCATTTAATCTTTCACGTGTTCCTGGACGACGGCCAGGTTATTTATAGACGTTTTATGACTACGCATATTGAACGCCACTTGTTTTTGCAGTCTATTTTATGTTTATTATCATTGCACGTTATTTTTGGCAGATGAACAATAATTTCTAATTTTATGTTCATTCGCTGGCTAAATGCCATATTAATTAATTAATAAATCTTTTTTCCGGTTTATTGCTTATATTGAAATAAACTAACAAATTCTTTCTCCCCAGGGCTTGCTTGGCGAGGCGAGTGTATTCCGCGCTGATTTACCGCAAGTCGAGGAAAAGACGGAATACGTGGATGTGCCAGGAAAGAAGGGTAAAGCTGTCGAGAAGTACATCCAAGTTGATGTCACATGTCACGTTAAATTGGCGACAACAGGCGGTGGATCGGTTGATTCTGAAGTGCATCTGATGAAAGTCTCCGGAACTGCTTTGGTTCGCAAGGAACCAGGCGAATCTTCTGCTAAATTAATCAAAGTATTCAACGTCGGTCTGGATTCCCAGCTGAACCTTCTCTTCGCCCACTCACAAACCGAGCTCACTTTCCACCCTCTACCCTAAATTTCTCAACCAAGATCGAATGGTGTTGCAATACATGGAGACGTTCAGTTAACAATGTATTGGAATACCGTTAAACCTATCGTCGCTAGAGTCACTGGAAAATGACCGAAATGGCAACCGATCTGATAACGAGTTGGCAATCAATGGACGGTACCAAGTACTTAGGTACTAGGCATCTTTGCTGCTAGCAAATTGGTTGTTGATTCACATCGGCTGCATTCATGAATAATTGTTCAGGCCGTTGAAATCACATGATCAAACCTATAATGGTTTTGCTTCGGAAATATACTAAATTATAACATCTAATATTTTCTTTGTCACAGAATATTTTTTAACATATTTACAGTTTTGTATCTTTTTGATTTTTTATTCGTTTCCAATTATGACATTTTGTAGAATTATATCGGAGAGAGCAGTAAAAGACTATGATAAAACAAATTGTTATAAAAATTATGACATACAATAAAATGTATTACAAAATTATGATTTACGTAATTATAAATAAATATTCTACCAATGTGTCCTTATATTATTCTTGTTTGGTTCCTATCTAAATAAAATCTTATATTCAAATTAAATCCAATTACTTTTATTGGCATTTTATCCCCTGATCCTATACTTGTAATGAAACATTTATGAACTGGGAATTATTTATCTTTTAGACATATTTATCAGAACTAGGTTTATTAGAATTGAGTGGAGTAGAAACACCGCTTTTGCTTTAATATCAAAATAGAAGCTAACAAGTTTACGAAACCGTATTTCAAATTGCGTAGTTAAATATTAGGTCGGAGCGAACAAATTTATCTACATCTTCTGCCATAATATAACAACAAAGACTCATTAAATGTCAAGACTTTGTTCCAAACGACTAAAAATTATTATCATTTCAAAAGTTAAATGCAATTTTTTTTATCATAATTTTATATCATACCAAACAAAATAAACAGACTAAACGCGGAAAAAATATGTTATATTTGTGACAAAATATAATTGCAAAGAATTAAAATCATGTTTAAATATGTGAACGAATTATTATCAATAACGCTGGACCAATTTAGTAGAATATTTTGTGTCTGCCTATTTCTCATGTCTGGACAAAATTATGAATAAAAACATGTTTTATTCATTCTCGGACTCACGCCCAAGAAATATATATTTTGAATTCAGTGTATTGTGTAGACAAACACATCTGATATGGTAAAAAAAGCGAAGGCCAGACAGTTTTGGAATATCAAACAATTCTATTAGCTGTTGACTATACAGATTTATTATGGAGCCTTGGACGTTGAGTAATTTTATATTGTTATGAAGTTCTGTTTGGCAGAAAAAGATAAATTTCTCATTTCTTAATAACTTACTCTACATATATGAAATTGAAATCTGAAAAGTTCTAACAAGTAAGAGATCATCTGTAAGACAATATCTATTATCAAATAAAATTTTGAAAGGCGACATCTATTGAATAAATCACGAATTTCAAAGAAGCTGACTGATGTCAGTATCACCAAAGCTGTGTGTAAATAATGCATACGAGATGGCGCTGATGCTATTTAAACAACTTGATGAGTTCAGTCGCCTCTGGCAGGCGCACGTCTGTACGCGTAGTGCTGTAGTTGTTATGTCTACGTAGTCATCAGATATACGAGTAAAGTTTAGCGGGAATACAAGGCCCGCGTCCGGCTATCGCACTGGGGGTCTGGCGCGCTCACGTTTTTAAGAAAACCGCGATGTGCCAAATATTAACAGATAGACAGTGAACTTGTGCTGTAATCCGTTTTGCGATACGATAATATTACGAACATAATCATGGCTGGAAAAGTTTCTTACAGTTGTGTTTTATTTTTGTGCATATTGTACAGTGTCACAAGTTTCAACCTAGAGCCGAGAATTCCTGTGATAAAGTTCGGAGAGCCGGGTTCTTATTTTGGATTTTCTGTTGCCGAACATCTAACTATAAGTAATGAAGGACAAAAAACTAGTTGGTAAGTATGAAAATTTTATTAACTTAGCACAAGAAGCTGGTATGATGTCACGTGTGAAGGTCGCATCTTTACATGTTTAAGATCGGAGTGTCGATTTCTATAAATGCAAATACATTGAGAACAATATCTTGGAGTCAATATCGTGCTATCAGTAGAACATTGCCCTTATCAGGAATGTAGAGCTATTGATACATTCGTGGAACGGTTATAGAATCAAATGTGTTAATAAATATCGACTTTATATCCTTATCACTGATAGCTAACATTCTTCAAGAAACTAATTTATTGTATATTCAAATTACTCATTGTAGGAACACAAAATTCCTTCATTTTTAATTGTAACTTATATAGTTATAAACTCTAGACTTCATCATGTAGTAATTAGATAGAATATGTTATTGAGAAAATCGATAGTTATATAAATATGTATAAACCGGACACTTAATTAACTTAATGAATTCAATGCAACCGCGCTAAGGTTAGCAACCCTTTGCTATCTTATCTTTTAAGATTGCATAAGTTACATTTCCTTAAGTGAAAGCTAATATATTACATACAGTTTAAAATAACTAAATAGTCTTGCTCTCTATATGTATTAGAATAAAAGTTTCATTCAGAAACAATAAGTTCTTGAGCATTTTCCCATTTTATTTACTAAGTTTTTTAAGTTATAATTATTTTAAATATTAAATGCTGTTCAGATTATCACGTAAGTGTGTTAAGACAGTAAAAAAACACATTTTTTAAAGTTATTTTCATGTAATTAATATACATGAGCGTTATAGTAGTTTTGATTTATGTATGGTTTTTTCATCAAAGTATGATCTCGGCCTTTGGCGTAATACATACTTGTTATAATATTGGCACGTTTTATATGAATATCATAATAACTTGTAACACATAATAATAAATTATGTATGTAATTTAGATTATTTATAACCATTTTGTGACAATGTTTTCGTGTTTTATGTATAAAAAATTGATTTTAAAAATATCCAAGTCATATCGATCTGTTGGAAATCATAAAACATTGTTATAGTTCAGTTGAAAGCTAAATGTGTGTACTACGAACAATATTTTATTTATTGTCACAATAAACATTCGTAATGTAACATTATAGCAATGTATCATACATATTTATGAAGAATTTATATATATAGAAAAAACATTATCGTTTTTATTAGTAAATTTCATTGTTGTTAAGGAAATGTATTAAAGGTCTAGACTTGACAACTAAGTGATATAAACACTTTAACATGAGGTTGGAAGGAATCCAATTCTTCCGTTTCGATAGTACACACAGGTCGATATACTCTTATAACACTTATTACTAATATTATGACTCTATATGTTTGTTAGAGGAATATATATCTTATTACAAGAATATATGATTCATTTTTATAATCAAATACATTTGTTACTGTTTCGCCGTAGCCAAGATCTGGTATTAGCAGTTTTGAGACGGATACGAACCCGCATATTAGTTTTATGAATGTTGTAAGTCATGTTTATTGAGGTAATAATAATATCTATTACCAAAATACTCTCAGTTTATTGTATTTACATTAAATTTTTAGTTTAAATAAAATTTTTGTTTAGATTAGTGCTTGTCAATCACATCGTAGTGATTGAATGATTGATAAGATCTCGGACCATCCTTTAGTAAACATCGTGTGAAGTAATATGACAGTATTTTATGTTATATCTCTCTCAAGAATTTGATAAGAAATATATTTACTTTTCAGCTGTTTTGACGACATGTGATATATAAATATACATGAGTTAACATCAGTTTTTATTGCCAGACTAAATACAATTTCCATATACAATTCGTAATTCTTCCTACATGAAAATACATAGTATAAAGTTAGTAACATAAAATTGTCTGTTTTACATTTGAGTAAACAATATTGTTAAGATTTTTTTATATTTACCTGAAGGTAAAATATGGTTTTATATTATTTGTAAAGCGAGGTAACTCTCAGGGGGGTGTTGTTTTCATTTTGTCGCGGCATGTTCTAAGTTGACCTTCTATCTTACCTGGTAGCTCGATGCTTTTAATCATTTAAGTAATATTATAAATCTTATGAGACCACATGGTGATTAAGATTTTTTTATATACTATGAGATGTTAGTTCGAATTTATTTTATGTTTGAATTGTCAGAAGCTTTGAATATATAGATTTATTATAACAAAATGACAGAATAACAGATAAAGAAAACAGCATGGTCAGGGCATTTCATTTTTATAAACTTTTTTTATATCAAAATCGACCTAAATATGTATTTCAATAAGAATAAATGTAATAAAATTTACATAATTTTTTTGATCACGTTACATTAAGTCGATCTAAACTATTTTTTAGTTATATTTAGCATGAAAAAAAGTTTATGGAAGTAAAACTGTATCATGCGACGTTAATATTTCACATATGCCGATAACATGTGGGAGTTAGTTGTAAGTTAGCTCACAAATAAAGACATTTCTCTAAGCTGACGTACGTCGTTAAAATAGTTCATATGATATATTTATTTAGGACCCGTTATACACGCGGATATATTTTTTTATTACTTTAAAAGTCACGCTTACCTACTAACTCATAAAAAGACATGATTTAATAATTTTCTTTTTGTGATGTTTGTTGAAGATCGTGTTTTGTATGTTTGTAACAGTGACGCTAAAAGATATAGTCGAAACATATGTTGTCATAGATATATGTATTCCATTCCCAAAATAAAATTGTCCGAAGCAGCTGCTAATATTATAAATGAAATTTTTTTAAGCTATGTCCCGATTACTTCATTATAGATTTTTTTTCCAAGAACAACGATCGATAAAGCTCTTCTAGAGTGTGAGGGGTTCCCTTACACTAATTAAAATGTTCACACGTTGAACTCAGCGGGACATTCCCTCATATTTATACGAATATACCACCCTACAATTTTCACGAGATATTCAGTGATCAAGTCAAAACGATATATCCAATGCTTAATTATTTATTGAATACTTGTAGTAACTATTACATTGTTCTAGCTTTGCTCTAAATTCTTCTACGTTCCTTTAACTCACATTAAAGGGGTTCTAACAATATATTATTTACATGTTTATAAGCTGGTTTCATTTATTTAAATCTGAGTAACTATTGATAGTTAAATTAAATAATTCAAATATTTCGGCATCATTGCTTTTAGGTCTATTATATCTTATATGCTTTTATGTTTTTACAATTTTGTACTAAAGGAGATTTTTCATAAAGCCTTGATGAAAGGAACCTAATATATGGTAATGACTCATATCTGAATGCAACCTTCTAGAATCCAGTGGTTCAAGAACGAGTCCAGAATCAACTTAGTCCGCCCACAACTTTTTAGGTGAACTCGACTAGTTAAACGAGAACTAGCCAACTCCATTCCGAGGCTGTACTAAAACCTTATCAAAGCTTTCTAATAACAATAACTTTAATAAAAAGGTGCTGATAATAATGCATAATAATGCATTTTATTGTATACGAAGCTGTAAAACTATCTATTTCATGTCTAACTTATGTTAATAATGATAAAAATGAATAGTGTCGCTTAGCAGTCGTGCCCTAAATAAAATATTTTGATACTATGGGATACATTGAGAGCCGGTCAATATTAATAGCGTGATATCAGTGTAACCTAATTCGCATCACATCTGCCCATACTCCACATAGATAGGCCCTAATCGCCAACCATTCGTTATCACACCCCAGATCCAATATTATACAATTTTATGTTATTTATGTCAATTTATAAATAAAAACCTAAATAGTTTTAAGAGAAATTAAGTTGCCATTTGATAAAAATTTATCAAAATTATTAATGAATGGGAAAAATATGTACGTTTACTTAGTCTAGTTATGCAATACTGAATGACCTTTAAGAACAAAGTATGAGAATGTATGAGAGAACAAATACATAAAATCAAATAATCATAGACGTCGAATCAATAACCTCTTGCTTTTAAGTAAACGGTATAAAATAAAGATAAAAAACAACATGGTTAATAATATATTCAAATTAATTAAGTCACTTAAATAACGACAACTGCTTATGTAAATCTTGTCAGAATTTCTATATTAATTCGAATTCAGTTATAAAAGACAAGAGTGAAAATTTTCGGTCCATCGCACTCGCTCGGAGAGTCTAAACAGTTTTTTTAAAACGTTTTTTATGGCGGGTCTTCGCGTTGTCTTATTTTGTTGACCAGCCTTGTACGGTGTAGCCTTCGTTAGCAAGGTCAGGCCGTTACGACGAATACCACTTGAACTTTTTGTAACACATATTAATAAGACGAAATAACTACAAAGATCGTCGTGTCATTGTATTATATTAAGTAATATAATTATACTCCTATATGTTCGTGATTTTAATATTATTGTCTGTACAGAATTCGAGTGTAAAATGTAATGGTATCTAACAATTATTATTATTATTATATATATATATATACAGGGTGACTGGTGAATTACTATCAATATTTAAGGAGCATACTCGGTACATGATTCTCATTAGAATTATGTAAAAAAAATAGGTACTTAATTTTTGACCAAATTTCCGTATAAATAAATAAAGTGTGTACACGTTCAAAGTGTTCCAAGTGTGAACGCGCGCGGCGGCGTGCTGATACAACAACACGCCGCCGCGCGCGTATGTGTGTGTGTACCTAATACCTAATCTGTAGGGTGTTCATACGATGCGTAATTAATTACACAACTTTTGGTTAACTTTACTTAGAAGTTTATTAATATTTATGTTATATTAATTTTTATTTTGTCATATATGATTGTCAAATATCACGTCCTCAAATATCGATAGTAATTCACCAGTCACCCTGTATATATATATATATATATATATATATATATATATATATATATATTATTGAAATCGTTTTATTAATAATAATTAACACCCTGCTAAGGTCGTATGTATTATAATAATATAATATATATTCTGTGTAAGCACGCAAAGTC